ATCACACAAGCAACACACGCACTACAAACATTGCACATGCTTCCAACACATCCACACACCCACACAACACACACACACACAGACACACACACAACACACCACACGTGTGTGTGTGTGGATGTGTGTGGAAGCATGTGCAATGTTTGTATGTGCGTGTGTGTCTGCTTGTGTGATTCTCTCCTGTCTCAATGTACTTGTTTGAAAGACTTTTTCCAAATCTCCCCTCATTAACAGCCGCATAGAATTTCTTCCTGGCTACATTTCAGGTCCATTTGTCTCTTACACCTGTCTTGGTTCACAGCCTAACACATTCATATATCAGATTAGCAGAGATATGCAACAATAACACTGATATGATCAAGATCCTGCAACATGTGGGTGTTTGATGGGAAGCTGTGAAGGAATTAAGTTTCTTTTGTTTGTTGGTTTCTGTGTCCTTGCTGCCTGTTTACAGTTCTGCCTTGCCTGCCTGTTTGTTCAGCACAATCCCTCAGTCGACTATCTTCCTCTCCCCCCATTTCATAACAGAAGCATAAACACCCACCCGTTTTTTTCTCAAGCTTCTTTCTTTTCCTTCTCCTTCCTCTTTGTTTCTGTTTTGCTGTCTTTCTCTCGTTCTGCTCTCTCCCTACCATCAGCTAACAGCCATCCCTCTCTCCCCCTCAGCAGGACATGATAAACAGTGTTCCATGCTGAGGCAACCGAAGGGTGGCTCTCGCCCACGGTGTGCCAGCTTGGTCTCCATCTCCCAGAGGCTGGGAAATGATGACAAGGAGACCGGTGTTGGAATGAAAGCTCTGTCTGGGCACCAGGTTTATTTAACCTCAGCTATTAATCCTCCCACTGTGAAGACGCTTAGAGGGGTGTATATGAGGGATCAGTACTGCAGCAGCAAGATATAAATTGTGCGTGTGTGTATGTGTTGAAAAGTGAATTTCTGAATCAATGATCCACACACACTGTCACACTGAGTCACATGCTTGCATGATTACATACATGCACACACCCACACACATACATACATTCATGCATGAACTTACGGAACATGGTCATGTACTGCAGAGGTTGCAGACCCCAGCTGCCCCACAGTGTTTTATATCCATGCATACGTGCATAACGCCCCAAGTTAAAGGCTGGTTCAGTGCCAAACGAGTCCAGGATTCTGAAGCGACACCTAAAATGATTGTAAAAAATTACAAAACGTATCTTACATTGATACACTCTTTTTTTCTACAAATGTAAAAAAAAAAAAATTAATAAGTTGACATTGTACTATATAGTCTGACATATGCAATAAAGTCACAGCATGGCTACACATTAAAACAATGTCACACTATAAAGCAATAACATTAAAGGATGAAACAAGGGTAAAATCAACAGCATGCAACTCTGAAAATATAAATCATTTTTAATATTGGTGACTATATTATTTATATATATAATTATTAGGTCAGGGTTTATAATTCTATTCATTTATCATTGGATTGAAGGTCTTTATCCCAAACACCATGAAACACAATTGCAGCTAATTGCATGAATGTCTAAAACTGCATAAATGTAAAATAAAGATGTAATGTCATTAAATTAGTAGCAAAATACTGATATACCAGAAGCATAATTATGTATTTAGAAAACTATGTTTGTACTGGTAATGCAGGAAAGCCAGTCCCATGGCGGCATGAAGGTGAGCAAGGCCATGGTAGTCAGTGTAGATAAGGTCAAAGGTCAGGGGTCTCTGGATTGGACAACTGCCTCGGCCTGGAGCAGCACCTATCAGGCTGGACCAATCACAATAAACACACATCATACCACTAATTGTTCAGTATGACTCAGCATTAATCTTTTACCTCTCTCATCACTTCAGTGTAAATTCATCATAGACCAGATAGCTATGAATATGAATTTGTGTCAGATGAAAGTAACTAGTGGTATAACACGGTGGTGCCAACCTGTGGAGTTGGTGCTGTGAGGTGCTGAAGGTTAGGTTGTGGCCTAGGATTGTCAGACAGGCACTGAGGTCAGCCCACTGGACCAGCTCCCCTAGAGGACCCCCTGTCTCCACCATGGCTTCAAAACGCTGGCCAACGTTCCCAGCCAGGGCACCGGGATAAAGCAGCACCTATAGGTCAAAAATCCATCTTTAATAGAGGCAGTTCATATTGTATTCATTATGGAAGTGAGTTTAAAATACGTGTCATATGTAAAAAGTGAGTATCTACACACTGAAAACCTTTGACATAAACATTATGATCACACAGGAATGTTTTTGAAAACAGAAGTTGGGGTAATTTCAGTGTGTCAGAAAATAAACTAAATGATGCTTGGCACAGTTGACTTGCTGGTTTATACCCTCATCTGGGTCGAGATTGTCTTGTTGCTGCTCTGCCTCATCCTCAGACCAGCCTGTATCCACCGTTCAGACATCCTTTCCACTCTTGACCGGATGAAGTTTATAGCAGGACCACTGTTGTTGCTGATTACCTCATACAGTGGGCTCAGAGTTGTACGTATCTCAGCCTGTGTACAATCATAGTGTGAAACAGTAAGTGCGCAGTATAATATAAATTATAGAAGTGTTTTAGTTGAGTAGATCATGAGCTTAATCAGCCCACATTCATAGTGATTTTAAATGGCATGAACTTGCGATGCGACTGTACCTTATCCGTGTAAGAGAGAGGTTTCTGGTGCCATGGCAGCGTAGAATGGTTTCTTCCAAGATGAGGGGGACAAAAGTCCTCTATTTGCCTAAGGTAAGTCAATATGGAGCAGGTGGTACCATCCACCCCATAAAAAGCATAACAGGGGTCTGACTGCCAATGGGCCCGCAGAAACTGCCAGAGAGACAAATCAAAATAATAGGTCAAAAAAATTTACAGTAATTCATCAAGCATATTAACTTAGCTAGTCTATAAAGTAAATACAATGTTGTAGTACCCATTATTTTAAAATGGTATTTCCATATGCAGCTCAAACTTGCTCATATACTTGGAACTAAATATTAAACTTTAAACTTTACACAGCGCACAGACACAGCCATACAGACCACGCTACCACATATATTTCCACTTTCTCACCTCCACTTTCTCCGCACACACCGGATATGCAGGATCCATTGGCACCTCACACTTCTCATTGGGCCCTATGGGTAAGATATTAGCCGTCACACAGTTTTTCTTTATGTGGCCATTTTGAATGCATCGTTATGCCTCGACTCTGGCTTCAGTAACAAGAAGTACATTGTAGAGTTAACTCACTGCGGGTAATGAAGAACAGTGGATCATAACTTTGATATACAACCTCTCAACTCAGAAAGTTCACAATGAATAGCAGCCATCAGCACGATGTACAGTGCTGCCATGCGTGTAAGAGGCATTAGAGTAGAGGTAGTGTGTTCTCTGAGGCCCTTTCCCGTAAGGCCCCCACCATCTCAAGCCAATGTCAATCAACTGGAATGAACACACACACACACAATCAGTACTAGCTGCCCTGAGGTTATTGATAATTGGCAGTCAGTTGGTGCTTTGTGTTATTGTGGTTGTTGGATAAACTGCTTTAAACATCACACCAGCTACTTTTATCTGCCTGTAAACAGTCAGTCTTCACTACAAGAAACTGCATCAACTGTTGAATTAAGGTCTTACTACACTTTTGTCAGAAGTGGCTAAAAGTGAAAGAGGAGGTAGGTGTCCAGCATCTGAGCTAAGGACACTTTACGTACTGTAGGTTGTGCACTCGGTTGTTTTTGCTATTTTTTGTAAAAATAAAGAGATCAGCAACTATTCTGATCATCGTTTTATCAAACATTTTCAATCAAGAATGCCAATCTGTCCTTATTTCCACCTTCTTAGTTGAGACAATTTGATGCTGTCTTTGTCTTATGTAAACTAGCACTTAAACTTTAAACAAGACATATGAAGATGTCACTAAATGTTAAAAAAAACAGCAGGGATTGATTAATCAAGACAATGATTTGCAAATTAAAAATACAATACAATAATAGTTGTAGTCCTAATACAGAACTCATTTACATTTTAATAAATCCAGGGGAAAAAATTTTGTTCCTGACAGTATAATTCTGTACTTTCGGTGTGGCAAATATGCAATCACAATCATCTTTTATGACCCAAAACACGCTATTCTTTTCCTTTTTTTATACCCAATAATGTTTTAAAGGGGTTAACACTAATTTCCACTGCACAAAACCAGCAACTAATGGAACAAAAGGGTAAAACAAGTGAAAATGTATTGTATTCATCTAGAACATTCCTGTAAAGTGATCCACAATTTTCCATGACATTAGATTAGATTTCGGAAACTCCTCTTTGGGATATATCACACAACAAGCTTCCTTTTTCCTTTTTTTATGAATATATGCATATGAATGTATGATTGTGTGTGAGAGCATATTCTCAATTCGTTACCGACGCTCTTCAGCAGGAGAGGCTCTCAGTCAGAAGGTACATTTTTTGGGGGTTTTAGAAATGACTGAACAGAAGGTACCTGCCCCCTCCTTTCCCGTTTCTGGCATGTGTTGCTTCTGTTTCAGTCCAACTACAACAACAGAGGGAAGGTAAACACGGAGCTGAGGGTTGACCTCAAGCAATTTCTTTCACAGTTTTCACTATCACAATCAAATCCATTGTTTAAACAGGTGCAACATCTGTTTAAAATTTATTTATAGTTTTTTTGGGGGGAATTCTGACTGGTCTGAGGGGAGCTGATATTTTCTTAAAACAAACTTCTTTCTGAAAACACAGAGTCTGCTGAAGTTTTTACAGTTACTAGAAACACAACCATGGCTTTTTCTGTGTTGTACCTGTATTGTAGCTAAGCTAGCAGTCGAGAGAGGCCATCTCTGTGTGTCTGTCAGTGTGTGGGATCAAGTCCGGCGGTGCTTCTACAGCTGTCAACAGCGCAAGTCCAAACCGTTGTACCGAAATACTAAGTAGAAGGTCAGTGAATGATGCATCTCGATCAGCATACGTTTGAAAAGAAGTGCAGTGGGTTCACTCTCAGACTCCCAACTCAATGCGGAGGCAAACAAAAGTTTATGGTGAGTTGAGCCATTTTCGACCCAGAAATGTGGGTTTAATTTTGCCCATTGCCTTTAATGGATAGTGGCAGCTGAAGAGTGACGGGAAAGGGGGGAGAGAGGGGATGACACGCAGCAAAGGGGCACAGGTCGGACTCGAACTTTGGCACCCCCATCATTTGCAGTCCTAAATACTTCAGTGATC